AATGGTATCATGTTAGATCTCAAGATAATCCCGCAGATATTATTTCTCGCGGAGCCATGCCAGAGGAACTCTCTGAGTCACGCTCATGGTGGAATGGCCCTACATTTTTAGAGAAATCTGAGGAATTTTGGCCTAAAGACTCTACTATTTCAAATTTCGGCAAAATAAATACTGATACCCCAGAAATTAAACGAGGTATTATTACTCTTGCTTGCACTAATAATTTAGAAATTTTTGAGAAATACTCGAATTTCTTTCAATTACAAAGGGTTATTGCTCTCTGTCTACGATTTATTAAAAACGTTAAACTGGGTGCCAAGAATCGCAAATGTGGTTATTTGTCAGTGGAAGAATTAAATCACAGTACAAAAACTCTTATAAAAATGGTTCAAAATCAAACATTTTCTGAAGACATTGTATCATTGAAGGACATAAGTGGGGTAAAGATCAATAGTAAAATTAGTTCATTAAATCCTTTCATCGATCAGGACGGTATTTTAAGAGTTGGTGGTCGATTGAGGCACTTTAACTTACCATATGATCACAAATTCCCAATATTACTCCCGGCTAAGCACCCCATTTTAAATTCCCGACCTATTGTTCCTATTTCCAACAATCCTGATGACCTTGAGGCTATAAATCTAACATAGCTCCGAGTCAGGATTCTCTCTCCTTCCTCCTACCTACTAAAAGGATCACTGAAAGTTTCTTCCTAAGACCAGTAGACAAGCATGAACTAGTGCAAACCATAAACAACATCCAAAATAAATTTTCCTGTGGAATTGATGGCCTGTCCACCAAAATATTTCTAAATATACCGGATGTAGTAATCAACATTTTAACTTCACTGATTAATGAATCCTTTGAAATTGGTCTCTTTCCTAACTGTCTAAAAACAGCTATAATAATCCCACTTCATAAAGGTGGCGACAAAACCAAAACCTGTAACTATAGACCTATCGCGTTATTGCCTACCTTATCGAAGATAGTAGAACGGCTAATGAAAAACCGTCTTTTGCCCTTTCTTTTCAAGCATAACATCCTCACAGCTCATCAGTATGGCTTTCTACCTAAAAAATGCACTAGCGACGCAATGTTTTCCGTTCTTAATGAAATATACACATCACTTAATGATAAACTTTTCACCGCTTCAGTATTTTGTGACTTCGCAAAGGCCTTCGATTGTGTAAATCATGATATTTTAATTAATAAGTTACAAATTTATGGCATACGGGGTTCTCCTTTACATTGTTTTAAAACTTACCTAGAAAATAGAAATCAACAAGTGGGGGCGAATGGTGAGGATTCTACAAATCTAGCAATAAGCAGTGGAGTACCTCAAGGATCAGTATTAGGTCCAATTTTGTTTTTATTATTCATCAACGACATCACAGACTTAAGAATAAGTGGTAGAATTACTTTATTTGCTGATGACACCAGTGTAACCTGGAATAATTCTAACATGCAGACATTACAATCTATCATAAGTGAAGATCTAGTGACTATTAAGTCCTGGTCTGATTCGAATGGACTTTGTTTCAACACCAGTAAAACTGTAGCATTGTCTTACAGAGGTACTTTACAACCTATAACTTTAAACAATAATCTGATCCAAACGGTGACTTCAATCAAGTTTTTAGGTCTTTATATAGACGATTCTCTAAAATGGTCTGCTCATATAGATACCTTAGCAAAAAAATTATCCTCCGCATGTTTTGCCATTAAATCGGTTTCTAAAGAGCTGACTCCTTCTACTGCATTAATAACCTACTTTTCCTTATTCGAATCTCACCTTCGCTATGGTTTACCTTTCTGGGGTTCTTGTAGCTTATACCTTTTCGAATCTATTTTTAAACTGCAAAAAAGAGCAATCCGCTATGTATTTGGTTTAAGTAGTAGGACACATTGCGAAAATTACTTAAAAAATTTCAAAATTCTAACCCTTCCTGCTCTATTTATTTTCGAATCCATCTGCTTAGTTCGCAAGCACATTCAAAATTTATCCGAAAGACCAACTCGTAGATATCCTACAAGAAATTTAGAGACTGATGTTTATTTAACAATGCCCACTTCTGACCTATTAAAACATTCCATTACCTACAATGCCAAAAAATTGTATAATAACCTTCCGATGCAATTAAAATCTATAAATACATACGATAAGTTCCGAAGATTGGCTAAAGCTTTTCTTCTAGAAAGACCATATTACACAGTAGCAGAATTTTATAACGTACCTTAGACATTTGAGTTCCACATACAATGGCATTAATTAAATAATTAAATATTAAAGTTTAAATTTAAATTTAAATTTAAAAATTAAATTAGAATAATTATAATGACGGATATTGCATATCCATTGCAATAATTGTTATTCCTATTTTGTCTGTTTGTTTCTGTTTGTTTTTTCTGCTGTTTAGTTATTTTTATAATATGTTTAGTATTTAAGTTACACGCTTTGTCTATAAAATTTTTGTAAATTTTTTTACGACAATAAAGCATATCTCTCTCTCTCTCTCTCTCTCTCTCTCTCTCTCTCTCTCTCTCTCTCTCTCTCTCTCTCTCTCTCTCTCTCTCTCTCTTTCTCTCTCTCTCTATAACTCCTGGCCATTTCATTATTGGAGAAGCTCTTCTATCCGTTCCCCAAAGAGACTTGGAAGATGTTCCCATCAGTCCTGCATCACGATACTTGCATTTGTGCAAGATGTCACAACAACTTTGGAAGCGATGGTCCAACGACTACCTGCATTCCCTACAACAGAGGACCAAATGGCGGTTTAAGAAAGAACCTGCTCTAACTGTGGGTTCTCTAGTCCTTTTGAAGGAAGACAACAGACCAACCATGCAGTGGCCCATGGGTCGCATCACAGCACTTCACCCCGGTCCAGATGGAATAGTGCGCGTGTTAAGTGTTAAAACAGAAGGTCGGTCGCTAAAATTTGTTTACTACCGCTAACTGACTAAGGTTGTAAATAAGCTTGTTCATTTGTTTTAGTTTCATAAGTAACGTAACTCGAACAAAGTTGTTAATTCTTTATTATTCATGTTCATTTACAGTCCACTTATTATTCGTTTGTATTCTTATTTGTTGTTAAAACGTAGTCGTTTCAAAGGGGCCGGTATGTTCCGTAAAACTCAACTCGGAAAAATGAGAAGTATCGGCAACGGCGCTTTTAAGCATATCGATCAACCGGTCGATACTAGAGAGAGACGGGTGAAAAGATGATGAGGTCATTCATGGCGTCCCATGCATAAAAGACACTTCTTGTTTTGTTCTCACTAAACTGTATTGTACCTAAATTTGTCAGATAATTGAAATAATAATAAAGTGCATTTGTAAAGTAGTGAGCGTATTACTAGCTGAGCTGGTCAGCAAAAAAAAACGGCAGATCCATTCTCGAAAGAAAGAGAGGTTTTGCAAAAAGGCAGCACGCCGACAACTAGATAGGAAAACCATGTGTTGAAAATATTGAACTTTAAATTTTGCCTAAAAATCTCTGTTTAAGTTCGAGTAGCCAGCAGTTTATATTCATTACCAACGAAAATACTGAAAAATTAAAATTTTACACTTTTCCTTCAATTTTTCCATTACGGTCCATTTTAGAGAAATCATGTATTAAACAAAACTTATAAGAGATCGATATCGCAAGTTTTAGTTTAACAATTTTCCCAAAAATTAGGATTATGCACATTTTGTCAAATTTCTCAATTACGGACCATTTTAGAAATGAAAATCACACAATTTAATATTAAAACAGCTTTTTTATGGAGATTTAGGAGAAAAAATGTTCATGTATATATCAGAAGCATACAACTTAAACTAAGAAATTTAAAAACCGAATTCGAGATGAAAATATTTGAAAATCCACACAAATTTTTAGGAATAGAAATTGAGAAACAACCAGGAAAAATTTTATTAATACAAGAATGTAATGTGAAGTCCATACTAGAAAAATTTAATATGGAAATTGCAAAACCAGAAACTAAAACTGCACATACTAATTATCCATACCGAGAAGCTTAGGCCAGATATAGCTTACCCAGTACCCAGTGAGTTTTGTAGTAGAATAATAGAAAGTCCTTTAGAATAAGATATTATCAATATTAAACGTATATTTAGCTATTTAGTAAATACAAAAAGTGGCATGAGTTATGAAAATGCAGGTGAGAAGTTAAAATTGCTTACTGTGATTTAGACTTTGCAGAAGATATATACACTCGCAAAAGTACCACTGGATTGTACTTATTGTATATAGGCCACCAGTTCACCATCACTAGTGTATAAAGGGTTGCATACCCTTCGGGTCATTAAACGTTTTAAGGTGGTAACACTTTTGGTTTCCTCTGAGAACCAATGTTCCCTTATTTATTTTGTGTTTTATGTAATCTATCAATGTATGTGATTTATGTCAATCATTGCATTCCATTTTGTCAAATTTCTCGAATACGGACCATTTTAGGAAAATTTTGTATAGAACAAAAATTATAGATAATAATATTAGAAGTAACTTTTATTTAAGGAATTTTCTTCTCCAAACGTAAATAACAGATATATTCTATAAAATATAAAAATGACCACCTATAAAGTACCCCCCCCTCCAGATGTTCCGACTCTGCCCAAAATCTAATCAGTTTATTGGACGCTGGAATAAAGCTTAAGTTTAAAATTTGGTGTTTTTCTGTGTATCGGTTCATGAGTTATGGTGGATACAGACACACACACACACAGACATCATCAGGAAAATAGTCAAAACAGATTCAGGGGACTTCAAAACGTAAAAATCCGTCGAAAACTCGAGGTCGAAAAAAATCATGATTTCTATACTTTCCTTATATCTGTATACAGATAGGAAAGTAAAAAGGAAACGAAAATATAGAGCAGCATGGGAAGAGGATTTTGAATTTTCATCTTGGGTTACTAAATCCAGAGATAAAGATGATGAAAACGCTCAGTGCAAGGCATGTAATTGCAAAATACTTCCTTGGTGTCTTTAAAGGAACACATGGCTACTACCAAACATAAAAAAAACATGCTTGGATTCTCAGGAACTAGCACGGTTTGTAAAATTCTTTTGTATTCCTTTGAATTATTTTATTTATTTAATTATGTTTACAGATTGGCAAATTTTTTAAACAAACAACAGTTTCCACTGAAGTAAAAAAAGCTGCGATTAAAATAGTTGCTGTTTTATTAGAGCATAACGTACCACTTCGTGTGATGGATCATTTGAGCACGGTTTTAATAGATTCTTTCCACGATTCCGAGATTGCCAGGGAATTTTCGTGCAAAAGAACTAAATCTACAGCGATTGCATACAATGTGCTAGGAGTGAACTTCCAAAACAAGTTACTTAACGATCTAAAATCAGGATGTTTAAGACATTCATTGCAGATAAACACATACAATAAATATATCTTACGCTCGGCAACGGTGTCAACAGTGTGTGACGCGACACTGCGCCAGCCAATAAGAAGAGACGGTCCAAAAACCCTGCGCGGCGCGATGGATGTGCCGTCCGAACAAGAACGTGGGATTATATTGATCAATGTTGCCGTTTGGGTGGAAATTTCCCCCTTGGGTGGAAATTTGGACTCTGGGGGGAATTTTGGGTGGATACAATATTTTTGGGGAATTTTTGGGGAATTTGCTCCCACCCATAATGACTTTTTGCGAATTAATCTTATGCTTCTTCTTTTTAATAAATTTGTAGATAATATTATTTATTACTTATTAGGTTAGTGACATAATTAATAAGAAGATGAAAATCTGACACATGACATTACATCATATTTTGACTTTTGACGTATGGCAGGTTTTATGTTCGGACCGAACGTGGTGTTGTGATTTGACATTTTAATTTTTCTATGGATTTGATAGTAGGTATTTGATAAGTCGTTTTATTAACTAATTTTTAACGATGGATAGGTGGCTTATAAAGGTAATAGAAACAGTGCACTTAATTATAGTTAATAAATATAATTATTATTTGATGTTTTTTTAGTTGAGGGAAACAGAAGCAGAAGCTAAAACACGTCCAACTCCAGAGACACCCATAGCGACAGACTCTGAGTCTGAATCAGATACAGAAAACTCTGCGTCAGAGGCAGAAAACTATGCTTCAGATGCAGAAGAGTGGAATGATCTAGTAAGATGAAAATAATACATCTTTGGATTTCAAATACATTGTAAACATTGTTTTAGGAAGAGGCTAAAGGAAATTGGAATACAACTAAAAATAAAAATTGCAATGTTTCATCTACAAAACAAAAGTCTCACCCAAAAAAACGGAACTTTTCAAATAAATGGCTAGATGATCCATTAACAAAAGATTGGATCATGAAATCGAAGGATCTAAAACGAGGCATCTACTTCGCATGCTGTAAAGTGTGCAAAGTAGAAATAGTACCTCATCGTACCGGACTTAGAAGACACAGAGATTCTGCAAAACATAGGTATCTTATGAACCAGGTGGTTACAACAAAAAAAATCAATAACATGTTTGGACAAAGTATTGAACTAAAAGTAAAAGCAGCGGAATTAAAATTAGTTGGACTATTAGCAACAAATGTAACGGTCCCATTTTTACCTTAAGACATATTCTTTTTTATACACCTTCTTGTATTAATTTTATTCTCTTTGTACCCCTACGTTTAATTCTGGCTAAAATTACTTCGATTTTAATGTAACTTACCTTGTCTTTCCTATCTTTATAAAAGTTCTCTGCGTGAATGTGTATTTTATGATTTAGCAAATCAGGGGTTATATGCCCACCTACCTCGCGAACTCTGGGGTCTAGATACCAGCGTCGATATGACCCGTGGACAGGCATTTGGGTATGCAACCGGTCTAAGTTCATTCCGATGACTTATTAGACACCTCCGGTGCGACTCCCTGCTCCATCTACTTCGAGTATTTGGGTATGCAACTTGTCTAAGTCAATGCGACTTATTAGACACCTTCGGTGCGACTACCTGCTCCATTTGCCCTGAGGGTCCAGGATACTACGTAGTAGTAGGCCTGTTTTTCGTGTTTCCTGCCACTAGATGCCTTGCTACAGCCTGAGTAGACCTTTTCTTCTCCTGGAAAGGCCTGATTTGTTACCACCCTGTATGGATGAGAGTGTATCTGAATTCTAGACCTTTTCCCATTCTATTCTTTGCTTCTACACTTGTCTTTTCTTTAATCTAAAGCCATATCTAATTCAGTTTCACTTTCTTTCTTCTCCTAAAATCAAATTAAGCCAGGATTACCTGTATTTTGTATCTTCTTTGCTTTTAAGTTTTTCTTCGGTACTAACCTGTTTAAAATAATGAGTCTATCCTTATAATAATCCGTTTTAAATATGTTTTCGGGGCCCTGTTTCATTTTAGTTGGCAATATTCGTATTCGATTCTGGGTATTTGTCAAATTTCTCAATTACGGACCATTTTAGAAATGAAAATCACACAATTTAATATTAAAACAGCTTTTTTATGGAGATTTAGGAGAAAAAATGTTCATGTATATATCAGAAGCATACAACTTAAACTAAGAAATTTAAAAACCGAATTCGAGATGAAAATATTTGAAAATCCACACAAATTTTTAGGAATAGAAATTGAGAAACAACCAGGAAAAATTTTATTAATACAAGAATGTAATGTGAAGTCCATACTAGAAAAATTTAATATGGAAATTGCAAAACCAGAAACTAAAACTGCACATACTAATTATCCATACCGAGAAGCTTAGGCCAGATATAGCTTACCCAGTACCCAGTGAGTTTTGTAGTAGAATAATAGAAAGTCCTTTAGAATAAGATATTATCAATATTAAACGTATATTTAGCTATTTAGTAAATACAAAAAGTGGCATGAGTTATGAAAATGCAGGTGAGAAGTTAAAATTGCTTACTGTGATTTAGACTTTGCAGAAGATATATACACTCGCAAAAGTACCACTGGATTGTACTTATTGTATATAGGCCACCAGTTCACCATCTAATTCTAATATTCCATCCCCGAATAGTTGTAAATATCATTTCTCCTTACTTCCAGACGTTTTAACTGTATTTATAATAGGTAAACCGTAGAATAAATGTAATTTTGTTTTTAAATTCAATTTGTTTTGACGTTAGCAGATTAAATTCTGTCACTGTCATGTGTTTAGACGTTAACTGTCAGTAGACGGCAAAGTCGCGTTCGGCTTTGCGAACTCGATCGATTCAACTGACTATAGAACACCGTTATCGAAGGGATCACTTCAGGGTGTTTCTATTTTTAAGTAGTGTAAGCTGGTTTAGTGTTGCGTAGTGGTAGAACTATGTATTATTTGTCGTTGAGTATGCGCACAGTTTATTTTATTTAGGGATTTGGGGTAATTTATGGTTTTCGTGGATTTTAGGTATAAGGAACGCACATGTGCGTTTGTTTTGGCGTTTCGTGGCGCCTGTATCGGATTCCTATTGGTCGAAGAGTCGATAATATAGGTTCCGTTGTATCGGTTTTTCGGACGATTGGCCAGAAAAAGACAGCTGACTAAAATACGGTTATCTGATTTGTTCGTGGAGATAATTTCGGTTGTGGAATTTTGGACATGAAGGAAGTTGGTCGGTTGTCGTTCTGAAGATTTCGGTTGGAAAAGGTAGCGACGGCACATTTTAAGATTTTTCCAAATCCATTCAAGAATCCACTAGTTTTGTGACTATTACGTCAACCCTTGTATGGTAGGGGATTTGTTAGTGGTTCTTTATTTAGTGAGACATTGTATTTTGGCTGAGTTTTGTTATTTATTGGAAGTGTGGAACTTTATGGTAGCCATTGTCTTACGACGCTGTAGCGGATAATTTGGATTGGGAGCCTTCGTATTCCTCCTTGGCCTTTACACCGTTTATGCTAACCTGTTGGGGCTTTTGGATTTCGAGATATTTTGGTCCCTTACGAAAAGGGCCGACCCCACCGCCTCAGTGACCTCACCACTACCAACAACCCCAACTCTTGAGTAGGGCTGAAGGGTGGTAATTTTGCTTTCCATGCAGCGGAAGTTGCAGTTTTCTGTGGAGAGGACTAACGTTCTTCTTGGGGGTATTGTCTTCGAAGAACTTCCTAGGATGTATGTTCTTCAAGGAGATTTGGAAGTGTTGCCAGTAATGTCTGACCAGAAGGTGTGTCTGGAGTGCGATGGTGATGCTGAAGCCATTTTAATTAGAATGCACAGGTTTTTCTAACTTTTATTGTTTACTATTTTTTTGCACCGATTTATTCGATTTTCTTTTGTTTTACTTATAGTGTTTAAATATCCTTTCTTGCGCACTAGTCAAGGGAATTTGATTATAGTCTGGTGGAGTTTTGTTTTGAAGTCAGTATCTGACTGGTACTGCGTGTGAGTTTCGCCGTTTGTTGTTCGGTACAGACTATGACCAGTTTTCCTTGATTATGTGATTAGTTTTTCACCTTTACTCATACTAATTTAATTGGGGGGGAAAATATTTGATATGTACTATATACTGCTCTTGCGCAGAATGGAACGATTGTTCTTTATTTGATGGTTTTGTTTATTGTATTTTTAATTGGCCATCACATATTGTGCAGCGGATATTAATTTTGATATTATCGCCGTCACGTTTCCCTGGGAAACTGATTTTTATTTACGCATCGTTCGCTTTTGGAACCAAACGCTAATGACCGATTCCGTCTATTTTTCCTTTCATATTTTGCTATTTTAATCTCCGCTATTTTAGGAAATTTACCAACTAAGGTTGCTAATCACATGATTGTACAATTAATCTTTTAAAAAAAAAAAGGTTTTAGAATAAATGGATAGGGTATTATTTTGAGGGGGAAAATTATTTGATTTAGGTTTTTCTCTTTAGGTTGTGATAAATTATAGTGTAAAGTGGGTGTTAACCTTATAGAATTGTGATCTTTTCTGTTCACTTTAATTTTATGTGCATATATTTTGATACTTTAATGTTTTTATATACTTTTCAATAAATCGGTGTATTTTGGAATTTGTCCTTTCATTTACCTACTTCAATAGCTTACAAGGTAAATTTGGTACTGTTTGAAGAAGGGTTGAAGCTATTTGGCGCCCAAGAAGAAAATCGATCAATTTTTAGAAGATCTAACCCACTCCCGTCTCCACATGAGTGACCCGATAGGCATAAGATTGTGATCGACAATCCACCATACATTGTAACGCGTTGCGGCCGTTACACAAATAATTTGCCCTTTTTGCTGATAGACACTTTAGTGCCATTATTAAAAAATATAGCTGACGATTCTGAAATTATTAAAAAAATTTGTTTAAAACGTACGAAAGCGACAGAATTGTTAAATGAACATTTAGGGAAACATTTTCATAAAAAATTAGTTGAGAAAATTTCTGGTTGTGGGTCTTTATTTTCTATTGTTATGGATGAAACAACAGATATAGGCACCAAGAAACAGTGTGCCTTTACAATTACGTATTTTGATAGAAATGACAAAAAAGTTAACACAAATTTTTTCGAAATAGTAGAATTAACGTCAGGAACTGCCATATCTCTATTCACTGCTTTAAAAGAGGTTTTAGCTTTAAACAACATACCACTATCAAATTTAATTGGCTTCTCTTCTGACACAACTAATGTCATGGTAGGTGATTCAAAGTCAGTCTTTTCAAATCTACGGGCTGAGTTACCTAATATAGTTTGTATAAAATGCTCGTGCCACATGATTCATCTAAGTGCCTCCAAAGCATGCCTAAAACTTCCCAGATCGGTGGAGGATTTAGTTCGCAATATAGGTTCTCACTTTAGTCGAAGTGCATGCGACAGGAGGCATTTTGGGAATTTCAAACTTTTTTTAGAACTGATGTACATCAGATTTTAAGTAGAAGCAACACCAGATGGCTATCTCTTAAACAATGCGTTGATAGGATCCTTGAGCAATATGAGCCACTGAACGCTTATCTACGAGATTCAAATTTTTCTGACCCACTGATATGTTAAAGACAATGGACAATCACTTTACCGAAATATATCTTCAATTTTTGTCTTATACTTTGGGCATATTGACAAATTTTAATATTTTATTTCAGTCTGAGAGGCCACTCTTGCACAAGTTAAAACCAGAAATAATGACTCTTTTAACAGATATTTGTTCCAATTTTATAGAAATTAAATACATAAAAAAAGATTATATATGGACACTAAACCATACTAATTCAGATATGTTTGTAGAATTAGAAAAATTGTACATTGGCATACAAGCTTCAGAATTATTACAAAATTTGAAAAAAAATCCTGATGTAAAATCTGCAGATATTGACTTATTTCTTAAAAGTTGTTTAAGCTTTTACACTGAACTTGTTAGTGACATAAAAAAACGATTTGATTTTTCAGACAGTATTTTTGAAATAATTAAATTAGTGGAACCAGGCTATGCCAAAAAATATGAGGTAAGATCATTAAATATAGTTATTGATAGGTTTCCAATATTAAGAGAATTTGTTGATCTCCAAATTTTGGACAACGAATGGAAAAGACATGCTCTGTTGGAATCGGAAATAGATATTAACTTATCTGCAGAAGATTATTGGTGCCAAATTTTTCATTTAAAAAATGCAACAGGTGCTCCTATATTTCCAAACCTGGAAAAGGTAATTAGCCTCTTATTAATTCTACCCTTTTTCAATGCCTCAGTGGAAAGAATTTTTAGTCACTTAAATAATATTAAAACGGACATCCGCAATAGACTACATACAAAGACTGTTAGTGCCCTGATAAAAACTAAGCAGGGAATTGGAGATATACAAAGTTATGTTCCTGACAAATCGTTACTGTAAAATTATTTTTTTATTTTATCTTGTGTTTTGTGTTATATATTATTTTAAGTAATATATTTGTTTGGAAATTGCTTGTATGCAATAATTGTTTTTTAGAGTTATAATTTTATTTGTTACTTATTTTGTCATAACAATACAGTGTGTCACTTGTTATTTTGAGCAAATTGAAATTTTTTTAGTATTTAGAAAAATATAGAAATGTACATTATACTTTAATTGGTTTTTGGATCATATGTTGTACAAGTGCAATGATTTAAACTTTTTGTTAGGTTTTATTAATATTTTCAATTCATATTTACTTTACTTTGAAATTTGCAAATTCTTGATATTTTATTAATAAAATATGCAAGACTTTTTTATCAACAATAACTTAGGTACACTGTATATTAATAATTTATTATGCAATATTTTTTTGAGATATTGTGTAGGTATCAGTTATTGTATATACAAATCATAATAAAAACTGTTTTTGTTCTGGAATCAATATTTTTAAACTACACCCTCCAACAATTTCCTTCTCATCACTTTCTGCATATGATAATTTACAATTGGCGGCAAATTCAAAATAATTTCTTTATTATGGCCATTTGCTTAATAATGGTGCTAGCCAACAGATTATTTTTTAATTGGCCCTTACTATCGGGTGTATTTAGTCACTGGACCAACTGATATGTTGAAATTTATTTTCATTTTTATTAAATAGATTGTATTTCAGCATTATAGTTATATTAAAAACATTTTTTAGTGGGTGGAAAAAAGTGAGTAATTTTTAAAGTCGAGGGTGGATAAAGGGGGAAATTTGGGACGAAGTGATGGGAAATTTTACATTTTCGATTCGGCAACACTGATATTGATTGATATTGACTATTTGACTGTTGCAACACTCTGTTTTTTTTACGTTTATTTGGCTAATTATTTGTAATTGTTCTATTAAAATAAAGATTAGAATCAGTGAAACATACAGTCCATAATTACATCAATTTCAACGATTTAACATTTGGTCCATCTCACCGAGATATTGTGTAGTTTCAATTACATCAACTGGAAGAAGAACGTGACGATTTTTGCCTATTCGCCATTTTTGCTGTGTGTGGTGTTCCTACAGACGCCGACAGGAATTTGCATCAACAAACAGGTCGGTTCGTTCCTTTATTCCTTTTATAACAATTTGTGGCTTTTACCATTTATGAAAGGCATTGCAAGCATACGATTTAAATAATAAATTAACTTGCTAGTTATTTTTTTTAATCGTGATAAATTGATCACCTATTTATTTTTTGAATTTTGTTAAGTTACAATTTAAAAAGCACCAATTTATGTGCTGAAGTGTCTTACTACTACTATTTAAATTCGCAAGTGCCAATTTATGTACAGGGGTTAAGCGATTTCAAACAATTTTGCGATTTAAAATTAGGTAGATATATAAAAAAAATATATAAAAATTACGAAAGTTGTGTCCCCTTCCGGTACAAACTGAAGTTATATTGCAATAACAGACTTAAAAAAAAAAAACAATTTTTTATCATGTGCTTAAACTAAAACGTGCTATTCTTACCGAACTGTTTACCTGTTTTGAAGGCATCCCTTCAAAGGCGGGAGTATGTTTAAGACATTCATTGCAGATAAACACATACAATAAATATATCTTACGCTCGGCAACGGTGTCAACAGTGTGTGACGCGACACTGCGCCAGCCAATAAGAAGAGACGGTCCAAAAACCCTGCGCGGCGCGATGGATGTGCCGTCCGAACAAGAACGTGGGATTATATTGATTGATATTGACTATTTAATAATAATAATAATAAACGACTTTATTGTTTTCATAATTAATTTTGATACAGTAAAAAAATAGATTAATTAACAAAACAAAAGGCGAAGTTCAATTTTTAGGTTGGGTGAAACCCTCGCTAAAACTTGTTCTTCCACTTAACCTTAAAAGTATCGCATATTCTCTATAATAATACAACTACTATTTTTCATTTAAACCCTATCTCCGTAACTATGCTTGTTTCGAAAAAAGTAAATTTTTATAGGCAACCTTAAACCTTGGCACACTGTAAGTTTTTAAAAGAACTGGTACATCATTGTACAGTAAACATATCTGATAGGAATAACAGCGTCTAAAGATTTCAAGTCTAAAAGGTGGAGGTGAAAGTGTACCTTTATGTCTAATATTAATATTATGCACATCTGTCCTAAAAGTTATTTTTTTATGCAAATAAGAGGGAGCTTTATAAATTATTATTTTATGAAAAAGAACTGACGCATGTAAAAGTCTTCTACTAGCCATATTCAACCATTTATTTTCATTTAGTTTGTGTGAAATATGTTCTCTTCTGCGAATTCCATATATAAAGCGTAAACAAGAGTTTTGGACTTTTTGAATTTTTTGTTGATACAGACTAGATAAAAAGGGGCCGTAAAGAGTATCACCGAAATTAAATGTAGAAAGAATAAGCGACTTACATAGCATTGATTTGACTGTTACAACGCTGTTTTTTTTTTACGTTTATTTGGCTAATTATTTGTAATAATAATAATAATAATAATAATAATAACGTCTTTATTATTTCTATAAAAATACAAAACAAAATATAATTATTTTATAATAAAACAAAATATAGAAATAATGGGCGAAGTTCATCCTTTGTAAATGTTTGATCATTTACAAAGCATGTTCTACCACTTAACCCTTTAATTGTTCTATTAAAATAAAGATTAGAATCGGTGAAACATACAGTCCATAATTACATCAATTTCAACGATTTAACACAGGACTTTTAAATTTCTCTATCATTATTGATGAAACTACTGATGTAAGTAGAACCAAAACCATGGCAATTGCAGTTAAATATTTTTCGGACTCTTCGAATAGTGTTGAAACAAATTTTTTGTGCTTAATAGATATTGAAGTGGAAACAGCACAACATCTGTTTGAAGCTATCAATAGTGCTCTTAAAGATCGGGGCTTAAACTTACAGAATGTCATTGGTTTTGCACCAGATACGACCATCGTTATGTTTGGTAAACATGGGGGTATAGTGAGTAAAATCAAAGAAGTAAATCCCCGGTGTATCTTTGTAAAATGTGTGGCAATAGCTGCTAGCTACGCCTGTAAGATTTTGCCCCGGTCTATTGAGCAATTAGTGAGAGACACAATTATTTTTCCCAAAGTAGCAAACGGCTGAAGGAATTTTCTCAATTTCAAGATTTTACAGAGACAGAGCATAAAAGGATTTTAAAACTGTATGACATAAGATGGTTATCTTTTCATATGTGCGTGAACAGAATTCTAGAGCAATGGTCAGCACTTGTTATTTTTTCAGGCTCAATATTTAGAAGATAAAAAACAAAATCCGTCTTGCGAATTTCTTTATAATAGTTTTAACGACAATTTGATAAAACTTTATTTTTATTTTTTAGACTTCATAAGTACTACCTATAGTAAATAAATTTAATACCATTTTTCAAGGAGATTATCCTGTGGCTCATAGGTTATATAAAGACATTTCTGGTATGTTTACGTCAATTCTAAGTTGCTACATGAAAAAGAATTATGTGAAAGAATCACCACTTTATGATTTAGACCCAAGGGCGGGCGCCTATGTATTTTTACCCAAAAAACAAATGTATTTAGGCATTAACGTCGCCAAACAATTAAATAACGTAACAGACCACATTCATAAAGATGGTATAATAGATTTTCTTAATAGATCTCAACAATTTTTAATCGAGTTATGTGATCAAATTAAAACACGACTGCCGTTAGAAAATACCTTATTTAAAGAATTAGCATTTTTAGATCCCCAAGAAGTAGTTTATTCCGAGTATGTTAGTTTAACCCCTCTTTTGACAAAATTTCCAAATTTAGTTCCTGAAGGTATGGAACAAATTATCGATAACGAATTTCGTAATCTACATTTAGACCCAAATGTTGCTGATTTGCTTGCACGTAGCACGATATCTCCAAACGTACCAAACGTAGAAACATTTTGGGTCAATATTGGCAAAATTTGAGACTATAATAATGAACCAAAGTATCTCAACATAAGTACATTTGCCAAACAACTACTTTGTGTACCAGTGGCAAATGTCAAATGTGAAAGAATTTTTCGGATGTTAACAGAATTAAGACTAAAGACAAAAACAGATTTATTAATGGAAATGTGTCTTCTATTATACACGCAAAAGAAGGTTTGAGAAAAATAAATGACTGTTGTGCTTTTTCCCCAGACAAAGATATGTTGAAGTCAATGGAGGAGAAAACAATGTATAAAAATATTAATAAAAATTTTGTAGAAATTGGAGAACTAGAAACGTAGCTAATTTCTGTAAAAATGCAAATGTAAAGTTCTTTATTTATTTTTATAGGTACTAATAACCTAATTAAAAATGTTCTTTATTTATTTTTTATAATAATAACCTAGTTACAAGAGCTGTTTTTTATTTTTTTGTTTATTCCTATTTAAATAGGTATTTTTTATACTGAATATTTAGTTATCAAGTGTCGCCCTCTTACGTTTTTTACCTGAGTTATTATATAGAAATCTGTAACTATGATATTTACGCCTAAGTAGATTTGTGATAGATATCTAAAGTTGAGTTGGTAGTTTTTGGTAGATTTCTATCTAAAGTTGAGTTGGTAGTTTTGGTAGATTTCTACTCAGTCTCGTGGTAGATTCGTTCCAAAAATTATGATCACACTGGCAGCGTTGCCAGAGCTGGTACAATTGTACAGATCTGGTACATTTTCTACAATTTTAAATATTAATCTGACGACACAAATTTTTCAAAATAAAAATCGATGCACTTACCATTTACCATAAATATCGATACATTTCAAAATATCGATAAATGTCCCAATACGTCAGTTGGGTTATCACTAATTTGGTCCCGCATTGCCTGACCTCTACCATTTAATAGATAAACTTCAGACTGTGGATCATTGATCGTGTAACAGATGGTGTAATAACATAACTTTTGCATGAATTGTATTTTTATTTCGGGGACTTACTGACTGATGTTTGTTGATAAACATTGTGTCAGTTAAAAGAGTGCCAATGTTATTTAATTTTAATAGTTTTTAAATCAGTAGCAAAAGAAAAATAAGTATTTTACTGTAAAAAATGGATAGGTTCGTATTATTATTTGTTGGGGTTGTTAGGTCTACAGTAAATTTTATATATATTATAGGTGTTCTATTAATAAATAATTAAAACTATTCTAATTAACAGGTTTTTAAGAAAAGCAATAGAGGCAGAGCCGGGCATAGTATTTCTCAGCCTTCTAATTCATCAGGTATATCCAGACCATCTGATAAAATAATAAATTCAGACACAATTACTTTAGAACAAAATAGTGATTCATCAGAATCTGAATTTGCGGCAACGTCATCCAGTCGGGAATGTATAGATCTCCACAGCTGGTAATTTTTTTTTATTGTAAAATATTTTTGTTCTGCAAATAAATACTGGTTTTCCAATGGCTTGTAATGACGGCTATAAATACCCTAATTAATTTTAAATAATAATAAGACCATCGCTTTCTCTAGTCTTTTATTTAATTTATTTGTAGAGAAAGAAAAAACTTGATCATAAATTTAGTCAAGTATGGCTTACAAAGTTTCCATGGGTAAAACTACTTCATACTGGAGAGAAAATTTGCTCTTTATGTAATCACACAGATGAGGGTGGGGCAGCTCATTTAACAAGGCATGAAAAGAATCAGTTTCACAAAAAAATGCCAAAAAGATTACAAATACAGGAAACATTTAAAAATTGATTCAAGAATCTTCAGAAAAAAAGATTGGCGAAACCTCTAGTGTCTAGTATTCCAGATTCTCAAGTGGTTAAAATTATAAATTGTGGGAGAACAAAGACTACCAAATAATTAAAATGTTGAAGACTGAGGCTGAAAATGAACGTGTGCAACAACTAAAATGCAAAAAAAATCAATTATAGTAGATGAGACAACATACATATCACTACAAAAAAATGTTTGGCAATTTTGTGCTGTTTTGTAGATATGAACCAAAGTTCCATTAAAGACCAGTTATTGTCACTGGTAGAGTTAGAGAATTGCTTTGCAGATGGTCCCACTAATGCCATTTTGGATTTACTAGACAAATTTGAAATTATTTACCATAATGTTATTGGTTTCGGTGCAAATAACGCTTCTGTTATGGTGGGCCAGAGCAAAACTTAAAGAAAAAGTCAATTCAAATATTTTTGTTGTTGGTTGTATATGTCACTCCCTACATCTGTGTGCATCAGAAGCGACAAAAAAATACCTTCTATAGTAGAGGAGTTTCTCCAAGATATATACAGCTATACAGGGTGTCCCAATGAAAAGTAGCCTGTTTCCATTTGATAAAATTTGGTTACGGTGAATTTAAAAGAGGAGATTTTTAAAAAACACCCTGTATAGGTAATACATAATTTATGTGTCACTGAAGCAAAACTTATAGCAAAATAACACATATCAGCAAAAACAGCACGTTTCTATGATTTGTTTAAAAGTTATAAGCTCTGGAAATGGGCTTGTTTTCATTAAGACACCCTGTATATCGAAAAGTCCAAAAAGGCTTACTGTTTATAAATAATTTCAAAAATTTATTGACACGAAACCCCACAAATGGTTAAGATTAAGTCAAACAAGATGGCTTTCATTAGAGGTAATAAACAATTAGTTTACATAAGTACATATTTTGCTCGATATTTTGTTTCTGTACAATCGTTTAAAATCTGGTACAATTTTGTCCTGGGATCTGTACAATTCTTTAAAGGCATCTGGCAACACTGCACACTGGTCAGGAAGCTTAAGGAAGAGGTTCCTCAAGCGACCTTGCATACACATGTGTTGAATTATGTTGAATATATTAGTTAAAGTTAAACTTTGTTTTATTTGAGAAAATACCAGCCATCCCTACAGGATATATAATATTTTTTGTAAAGGATCTATTTCATGGGGATCCAGGAAACAACCAATAGTGTCTCTTTCAATTACAGATTCTGAGTACATATCAGCTGCTGAATGTGTAAAGGAACTTATTTATCTTAAAACACTTGTTTGACGAACTTACTCGGGAACTTACAAGTGATGACATCAAGATTGATTTGAATGTAGACAATCAAAGTGCCATAACAATTATTAAAAATGGGCAATTCAATAAATACAGTAAATATATAGACATTAGATATCACTTTATAAGTGAAAAAGTCCATGAAGGAACAGTGAATCTAAAATATTGAGCTAGTGAAAATCGAATAACGGACATTCTCACCAAATCGCTAGGAAATGTCAAATTTCAAACATTAAAAAACATTTGCATGAACACAGCTTAATATGGTTTTAAAATTGACAGTTTTTTTACTTTTATGTTGTCATTACATCTCAACCTAAAATTAAGAGAGGGTGTTAAGATAATACTTTTAGGTTGTTATTATGAAGACAAGAGACTTTATAGTTGTTATGTAGTAGTTAGTTGTTGACTGTCAACGTCAAGTATAATAAAAATAAATATTTATTAAAAAGCAAGAATAGTATTTTTATTAAATAGAAAATTAGAATTAAAATAAAACCAAACCTTCGACAGTCTCATCGAAAGTGGTACAAATGGTGATGTTATTGATATACCAAGTTTAGCGTGAACATCTCAATCCGAACTACTCTATATATAGCCCTAAATGAAGAAACCAACTATCACTTTGCAAATAAATAATATAAATTCATAAATGCACTTACTTTTTTGGAGAACAGACCACAGATGTTTTCTCTTCTTTTGATTAAAAACATTTCTCACAGTATGTTTTGATGATTTCGATTTTATTAGGGTTTGTTTGCTGCTACAAGGCTGTGCAAAATAATCTGGATAATCAGTATCCTCAACCTCGCTTTTTAGAGTAGGCAAATCCAAATGAGACGTCAAAAGTTCACTTTCATCTTTAAACTGAACATATTCGCTTATTTTGCTAATCACAGGCTTAATATCGCCGATATCTGCTGCTTTAATTTCGTCAGCGTTCTCAGGTTCTTTTTTAATAATAGTGCTATTAGAAACATGATTAACGGTGTCGCGCACTGATTCGTACTCAAAGTTTTCCAGAAAATCAGAACTTTCAATTTTAGGCAATTCACATTCTTGTTTGATTCCATCACAATTTAAGAAGTCCTTCGTTGTTTGATATTCACAAATATTTTCACTTTCACCAAGCACATGGTCTTGACTGTTTCTAAACGTTTTGTCTTTTGTAGAACCATAATTTCCATCTATTTGATCGGAAACAAGATCTGGTTCCATTTTAATTAACTTCTTATTAGGATCAAAGAGTTCTTGTTTCGCATCCATCGTTTTAATAACTGAATAAAGGATAAAAAACTAGGTACCGTTGTCTACAAATCAACCTTACAAATCATGGAATTACTTAGTTAGAGAAATATAATACAAAAAGTGAGAATAAAAATAAAAACAACTACAATATTTTTGCGTATGACATCTGGCTTGACATTCAGAATTCAGACAGTATTGCCAATCCAATTCTTAAAAATTCCTCATACGCAATTTGAAATTTCGCTTAAACATCAAAATTTTTTGTTTTATTCGTGAATCTGAAACAAAACGGTTCCAAAGACAACCAAGCCTACTAATAACTAATTGTAAATATTTGGTTCGGCAAAATTTGACTGTGTGGTGCGATTGTGATATACGTAAATTGTAAATTTATTTGAGAGCGAAAACCTCTTGAAGCTGATCGTAGTTAAGATACAATTATATAAACAGGATAGCTTAGTTCTTTTAATCCGTGTATCTGAAATTTATGACGTCATCGCAGAACCTCACGCCTACTTTACAGCAACATCATTCATTGACTGGAAAAAGCAAAGGAATAAGCGCACAGGAAATATCCGCAAAGAAAAAAGCACACAATAAATAACCGTACGTGGAAAGATGCGCACACGGAAAAAATCGCAAAGGTATAAAAGCATACATGGAAAAAAGTACAAAAGTTGCTTTTTTG